TCCATAGCTCATTTATTATGATACATCATCACAGCAATGCAATGACTATTTCCTAAAGTGTGTTGAAAGTGTCTTTTTCCCTGTGTCTTCAGTCATTAAAACTGAAATCAGAAATGAAGATCAGTCATTAAAACTACCCAGAGCAGCACACAGCCAGCACATCAAAGCTGAGGCTCCTGAAATCTCTGCTACTTCCATGCTTAGGCTCATTTTGGCCAACTTCCAACACTTTCAACACATGGGGCTACCCATGCCATTGTAGTGGATAGTAACAAAGCTCCTGCTCAGCAGAAGCTCCTGGTTCTAGAAATTACATTGGACAAGAAACCAGTGCTGGAGCCCATCTGTACTGGATCACACTGAGAATCTGCACTGGGGCTTTTCTTCCTTCTAAAAAGAAGAAATGAGAAGAACTACCACTGCTACAGAAACATTTCACTATTTCTTTCCAACATGGTTCATATCCTCACATAGGCTCAGTCTTATAAACACTCCTTTAAGAAGACTGACATGATAGATTAATATATTATTTGAATGTGAATGTTACGAGCTTTGTTGTTTTATTATGCACTACCCTTACAACTTTCCCTGTCACCACTGCACCTTAACATTAGGAGTATTCTTACTCCTAATCACCGTGCCTGTAGACCTCACTATGAACTTCATGCCACACATTTCTAGTCACTATCACACCTTTTGGACATCGACGTTATAGATGTCAGTATGAGAAAATTCCTCCCACCTCACAAACATTATTTACATTATTTACAATTATCTACAAGTACATTCATGACTTGTTTCCTGGGATTATGCTGTAGATACTAATTCTCCATTAGGTAACAATGCCTTCAATTTGATTGCAAAGGCTCAGGATATATAGAGAAAATCAAAGCTAGATGAGCAAATGGAGGCACTCTTCCTAGCACATGTAAGCATTTACATTTCTGACAACTGTTGTCTCAGCAGGTTCTTTCACTGTTACGACCCATTAAAAGAATACCCTGCTTCTTCACTAGGCTTGAATTCCAGGTGCTCACAAGGAACTAAAACTTAACTTTACTTGAATGTGCTAATAGCTTTCCTCTTGAAACCCACTCGAATTTTAACAGCTTGTTGCGAAGTGTAAATATATAAATATGCTATTCTCAGGTCAAGATGCATTTAAAACTTGTTCTAAAAATCAAGTATTACTCCTACTCTGCTAGAAATCCTTCTATTTTAAAGCATAATAATATGATATGAGACAAGAGTCTACTTAAAGGTCCATTCCAAAGTATATTTTTCAAACTTTGGTACATCTGTATGTCAGAGACACTCAACACAGAACAATAATCCTGTTTACCTTTTGGAAAAATACTTCTCCTTCAACCTCATTTGAAAGCCTCTTCATATTTCCTATTTCACTAAATAACTCTCAGGACAAGATAAATTTTGAAAAGCTAACCATACAACATATTGTGTTACCTCTAGCAACCTGTGTCATTCAGGACATGATTAAGTATTTTGAGATTTCATAGATGAGTCAAAGAATTAGAATATGCATTTCTTATGCAATCATTTTTAAAAATACTTATTTTCAAGAGGTTGGGAAAAAAAGGAAGGGGAGATAGTTAAACCTTCAGTTGGAAATACTAAGTTCTCAAGTGTTTTTCTTTGCATCAAACATAGCTTTGCACGAAGGCAAAGTGTAATTTATAGTTTTCCCCCACTAAATCTCAGACACAGCTATTAATGGTAAATCTGCTGAAGGCAATTAGTCTCTTTTGTCAGCTCAGGAGAAACTAATGCATTGCCGAGGACTTGTCTGGACCAGCAGCTATTTCTCCCATCTTCTGTATACCGGGAAATACCCCAAAATACAATTTTCATTGTGATTAAAAAGAAGGAAGCATTAGCTTCCTTCCACCTGAAATAAAAGGAGATCTTTTACCCCAAATGGTAATTCTGCTCCTAGAAACCTTAAGCTTCAATAAAGAATATGTCTTCACCTCCTTGGGATGCAGTCTACTGTAGGATCACTTTTTTTTTTGTTTGTATTTTTTTAATAATTTCTCCCATTCTACCAAACAATATATTTTGGGACAAGAAAGTTACTCTGATACTTGAAGACTTGAAGAAGAGTTTGTTGACAAACAGAATGTCTACAAATATCTTATGTAAACACTGATATTTTAGTATCTTCAGTATCATATATTTGTTTTTTTGCAGAGTCTGCTTTTAGAAAATGTTATTCAATCACATTTAACATAGACCTGAGGACCATATATTGGGTGAGTTCAGTGGTCCTGCAAGAGGCTCTAAGTAGCCCAATTGACTCAATACGTAAGAAGGAAATGTAAGATCAAAAGAGATACTTTACAAAAGCAAAGAAAAATTACAGTGATTAACCAGAGTATTGGTCTACATTTCAATTATTTATTAAATTACAGTGTACTGTCAGGATATTCAAATTCTTCTAGAGAAGCACACTAGAAGAAGACTTCTAAAAATTAGTCAGTTCTAAGCCCAAATGATTCAATGATAAAAGAAAAAAATACTTTGGGAGTGGCTTTAATACCTACATTTTTAAGTCATATTCTTATTAGCCTATGGTTTGAAGCCACTCCCAAAAGACTTTTTTTTTTCTTAAATACTGAGTCACTGAAAAGTTTTTAGTCTGTCAAAAGTACATAATCTGATTTGGATTAGAAGTCAACGTTTACTGCACAAGTAACAAGAATAAATTGGCAGCAACGATTGAAACTTTTTTTTTTTTTAAAAAAAAAAAAAGCTTTTATTTAAGGTAAAAATGCAAATCCCACGTCATTGATTAGATCCTTAATTCCTGGAAGCATTAAGACTACAAGGTGATTAAGATTACAAGTTGCTAACTTTGCCTATATTTAAGTATAGTCTCAGTCATCATTCCTTTAAATTAGTGGTGTAGTAACCTAACATGAAGCAGAAGAGCTATTTTTGTTTCTTTTTTCACTTCAGATGAAGAACATGAAGCTATAGTACTGTGAGTGACTTGCAGTATATGCTTCTGCTGATCAACAGTATAAACATCAGAAAATAACCGCAATTGGTTAGTAATGCTACAATGTTGGGCAAACTTACCCAGCCAAAAGTTTACTTTGTAGATAAAAAATGAAAAAAGAAAAATAAAGATAAATAAAGAAAGAAGAATAAAGATTTTTGTAGATAAAGAATGAAAAAGCTAAAATTTTACTATATAAATAATTAGTTCTTTTGAAAGGACTTACATTATCTGCATAGCTAGTAGGTGTTAATATTAAACATAGCTCATCTATATCAAAACATAAATCAGACAGAATAGATGGACCCTGCTCCATTTCTTCTCCCATTCCCACTTCTGTCTATGCATTTTCATCCCCTTGAGCCTTCCATCTCTTAAGGGAGACTACTTAAGGGAGACTAAAACTGTCCACATGTCTAGACATGACAGTTGTTAGCCCAACCAAAGACTATGTCAACCTAGCAATAAGGGTTGCTGAGTACCAGAAGTGATGCAACGAAAGTGAAGTGGTGGAAGCATACACAACAAAAGCAAAACCATATTTCAGTAAAATTGCTGAATTAGTGTACATCTTGTCAGCTAATGTAAATAATTCTCTTCTCCAATCTAAACTTATGGGGATATTCAGCCAGAAAACAACATTATTTCCCTCCATATTAGTAGTCTTTAAGGTTTCTTCATTCCTCGTCAAAGGATCTTCCAGACCTTTTAGGTTTTATTGTTAAAAGCCACAATTCTCCATTCAATCATGCTCTGTGTAAAATAGCCTTAGATTATTTATCCTTGTTAAACAACTGCAAACACTTCTATGTTCCTTGGTGTATAACCAGAAAGAAGCTTGCTAGCATCAGGGAAGTTTGCACCAGCTGCTAAATGGTTCTCAGTGTCAGTAAACCAAAGTAGAGGATAGTAGGAGTAATCCTTTAAAATGGTTAAAATTTTAGAAACCAGAGGAAGGATATTGTTTTGGGAATACCTACACCACCTAGGCAGACTACAGAAACTTTGCAACTTAAGAGTTCAACTGAAGTGTTCAACACAAAATTGTCAAAACTGTCTCCATCAGTTATACCAATATAACATGCAGCAGTTTCATGTGATTCAATCTGTTAGCAATATATTCAGTGATGACAACAAAACAGCAAAAAGCTGCTGTGCTCCCTGAAAAGACCTGAGTGCCAGAACCGCTCTGTCACAGTATTATGCAACCTGAAACATCTGTAGTCTCATGGGATATTAGCAAAACTTTAAGGAGGTTCTGGTTTTGCAGCATCCTGTTCACTGACTTGCGCATCTGGCTGCCATCAGAACTCCCATCCAAGCAGAACTTCTACAAAGAACTTCTACAAGCGTGCTGATAAAAAAGGAATGGGTAAATTAGTTCTGGGCCAAAACAGAGCAAGCTAAACCTTTCACTTTTAGATTTTGTGAACATTAAGCTCCTCTGTGCAGCTTCAACACATCAGATCTATCAAAATATAATTATGCCATCCTTTAAGCAGTGAGCACCACAGTGTGGACAGCATCTGTCAAGACAACCCAAACACTGAAGCAGTAATAGATTGCACATGGCCAAGTGTCAGGACTACCCTCAATCATTTCTTTCCAAAATGTACATGTATAATAGAAGAGTTTACCTCAAGTTCCCTTTGATAAAGAAACTGCTATAGAAATTTGCAAGTATGCTAATAGAATGAATTGGTACTTTTTTTTTTTTTCAAAAATTCATTTGTTTTATTTAGTGAGCATCCCAGATCCATAAACTATTCACTCCTTTATCTGGAGAACATTTTCAAAATATTTAAGAGAAGATATCAGACAAGCTGAATTGATTGTTCTTTTTAAAAGCTGCCAGCTGCATTTCTGAACTGAGTTACTCTGGGCCTAAAGTATGTTTAAAAGGAGTTCCAGGAAATACTGCCTCCTACAGAATACGTAACATCTGAAGTTCACACAGTGCAAATTAAGCAAAAGAAGCAAGCACTTTTATATGTTTTTATTATAGAAAAAAACAAAAGGCTTACACTTGAATTCAAAAAGCAGCAGTATTTCATGAATTTGAAGAAACTACTACAGTGAAGTTGCTTTATGAAACCTTTTGAGATTCAAGAAAAAAAGGAAAATGTCAGATTTCCCTCAGATAGCATTCTAAACTATTTGCATGACCACAGTAAATCTCTTAATTGCATATCACTTCTGACACACCCAGTATATGATGCTCTTCTTTTCCCTATGCCTTGTTGAATACAGCTGAGAAAAGGATTTGGTGAAAATGGCAGTACATTTCAAGCTAAATTTTCAATAGTTCAGTACACATCTGATTGATAATACAATTAAGAAGTGACTGAGATACATGTTTTTGTCTTGACTCCTGCAGTTGAATGTTACAATTGTAATGGATCCCAGTGTGATCTACTTCTTACAGACATAAGAATTATAAATACTGTGTATCTCAGAAGATTTCTCAGCAAGGTCTTGGGATACGACTTGGAATATAAACACAAAAATAACCACAATAATGAAAGCTCACAGTTGAAACACTTCCTCGCAGTGCAGCAGAATTCAGGTTTGGGTGTGTGTTTTTTTTGTTTTGTTTTTTAAATTATACATTATGGAATGAACAGTGGTGTTGCACTGACCACTTTCATTTTTTTAGTCAAAAGCCACAGGTTTCCATCCTGAGCCAAAATTAAACATAATCCATTTGTACTTGAAAACTTATGAAAAGAGACGAATAAAGCATCTTATTGCCTTAATAGTCCAGCATTTTGATTATTAGCAATGACTTGTGCTGAAGTCCAAGGAAACTTACAGGTTTGTCCTTAACTTTTTTTTTTTTTAAAAAAAACAAAACACAACTCTACATCAAGTAAAAGACGACTCAAAGCACATTTTTTAAGCATCTCACTCTTCACATACATGCTAAAACTACATAAAGTATTCTGCAGATTTAAAAAAACATTGAAAAGCAAGGAACTCAACTTATTCTTTACAACCAACTACGCAAATAAAATGGAAAAATGAAAAAAGGCAATTCATAGAGAGAAAAGAAAGAAATGAAAGAACTTAGACACCTGCTATTCAAAATTCTATGAACTCCTCTTTTTTTCTCCTCCCAAAAGGAAAAAGGGTTGAGGAAAAAGGGTTGACTCAAAATCACATGGCATTTTTCCAAAAAAAAAATTCCTGATCTCCTTAGACTTTTTTTTCTTTACAGTGGTAACAAAACTTTCAACTCATGCATCTGTGTATTATAACTTTCATTATAACTTTTATTGACTGCCAATAATTATATTAGTACATTATAAAAGTCCTCTAATTTATAGCAATTTATATTTAACTTGATAAAATATTTTTTAAAAATAATGTGCAACAGGTAGAACATGAGACTTCCTAGAAAAACTCTAAGTTATCTTTAGCTATCAGGTTCTGAAAGACTTTACAGGTCTCTTTTAAACTTTCTTTGTATTCAGCCTTAATTTTATCAGTGTTTAGCTGGGCTATATTATTAGTAGCTCATCACATATACTGAGGTCAAGTTGCATTATCTTTATCTTGCTGTTCTGGAAATGAATAATCCAAACCTTCCAAAACAAAAAGTGTCAAATCGTACCTGCAAATTCCTTCTTTGATAATCGTTAAAGACAATAAAAAACATCCATATTTCAGTTTTTTTTTCCTGTCAATATCTGAGAAAATTTGAACACATGCAAGTCAAAACTACCATGATGCAGACAAAAAGGTCCTCTTACATGAAGATCATCAATAAATGACTATCTTCAATAAATAAGTCTATTTGAAAATTCTAGAGAATTTTTTGATTAATTAGTCTTTTTTCTTTTCCGATAGGTCTTTCTGTTTAAGATCTCCATCTGAAAGTTCTGTATAGTTTTCGTTCTTTTCCTCTTCTTGTTCTTCCTCACTGCCTTCATCTGTGAGCTCCCGATCACTGTTCTCCTTTTTAGCTGTCTCATGTTCATCTACCCCTCCATCTGTATCAGCTGTGCAGATTCCATAACACATAATGCTGATGACACCCAAGGGCAACCCAAAGAGAAAGCATCCCAGAAGTGGTGAACTCTTGAACACTGACTGTTGGAACACAAATTTGAAGTCAAAAAAAACTTTCACTAAACATTCAAAATTACCACATTATTATTATCTCTTATTATTCTGTATGTTTATTCAGAAACATCTGAACTGAATAAGCTTGCTGCAGAAAGGCGGTGTCATTTTAACTATTCCTATTATAAGTTTATAAAAAGTCTTAGAACTGATACAACAACATTCCAATAAGATGATTAACGTTAACATGCCAACTACATATTTTATTGTTTGAAGCTTGATAAACAATTGTTTTAATAGCATTAAAATAACACTTTAAAGCATCCAGTTTTAACTCGTATTTGTGCCTCATTCTAAAAGATTGGTTTGAGTCATCACAAATCCTCTTGAGAAACACTGTTAGTAGAGTGCTTTCTATTAAAGAGTAGTTTGAAAAACTTCACTGAACAAGAGGAAGACTTTTGGTTTCAGAAACTGATGCCTGAACGCTGCAGACAGAAGTTTGGAAGTTACATAAAGAAACATACAAGTTACAATTTAGATTCACAGCACATTTGTTTGTGTAACACAAATGAAGAAACACATTTATGTACATTTTCCCAATAAAATGCTGTTAAGCATTGCTAACCTCTAAGAATTATAAAAATATTTGTTTCAAAACCACATCAAGTACAGTGTTTAATTCCCCTGTGCCCTAACTAATTAAATTGAAACCGTAACATTTCTCAGAACATTAAAGTGTTATTACTTTCAGTCAAAGGAAGACAAGAAGGTCAAGGAAAAGATTTTGAGTTCTTCTCGTTCTATCCTTTAAAATATATGTCATACTTTAATATAGAAAAAAGTGAAAAAAATGAAGTCACATATATTCAACATTTAACACACTGGAAAATATTATTCAGACTTTAATCAAGTTAATTAGGCTTAAACTTCACATATATTACGTGTGCATGCACATGTGCATATAGGAACTTGGAACAAGTTTATATAAAGTATTTCTAAACTCTCTGAAAAAGGTTTGCATCGTTACTGACAACATTACCATTTGTTACAAAAAATAAAACTTACCACTACAGTAGACTTGGCATCATAGATTATTCTCTTGATTCGTTGTAGAACTCCATCACCACCCTGTGCCTGAAATTTCAAATGCAACTATGTCAGAACTGCTGACACTTTTCAGTTATGATTCCAAAAGTTCATTCTTCAGACCTTGCAATCTTAAACTCCCTTTAGAAGGAAATGAAAAGTAATTATTCTTGCATCTCATGCTGCCCAGACACTTCAACTTTTCAAGCATGGATAAATATTTCAACAGCCTCAAAAAATTCTCTCACAATTGTTTTATACACTAGGTTACAAGTCAACTGTCACTCTAACACATCTCACCATAGAGAAACACTAGAAGAAATTACCAACTGTTCCAATGCAACAATTACAGAATTGCAGAGATCTTCTGAACTTTCCTGCAGCTGAAGGATATCTATTTATGGACAGAAGCAGTTAGATTTTTCTAAGAAGCAACAAAAATATATACAGGTGTAATTAAAAAAAGCTTTTGTCTAGCAATGATAGACTCTACCTGTGCTACCATCTAACTTAGCAGAGCCTATATGAGTCTGAAGGTAATTTGTGTATCGAACAGGATGAATCTTCACCTTTCTCAACATGCTGGAGAAACACATAGTATGAAAATTTACATTTTGGAGCAAGTCAACTAATCAGAGCGTGATGCGGACCCAACTCCTCCAAAATTACAAATAAAAATGAAAGATTCAAAGAAAGCAACCTAGGACCATACAGAAAGGAACAAGGTTCCAACACCTCCTAAGAAAGGGAGATAGGAGTGTTATACTCCTCCAAAATTTCACTGTGGTTCAGAAAGTGTGTGTTATATACTAGTTTACCAGCATACTTTAAAGACTGTCATTCCTCAAAAGCTATACAATCTCTTGGGCCTCAACACAGCTGAAGTAATGCCATTTCGGTCTATGGATACCAGCTTAAATGAAATCACATCCTGTATGAGTCCTCTCACATACATGTACAAGATGTGAATTCAGACAGAACTTTAATCATTCTAGCTGAAATAACGCTAAACAAGACATAACGGATATTATGACAAAAACACAAGGCATCACAAACACAGAATTTCTCGAAGTTAAAAAAAATACTTTAACTTGTTGTTCCCACCGTAAGGACATATTTAAATAGAGTTAAACAAATGTAATAAAAACATAACTCAGAATTTTAAAATGTAATACTAAAAATTAAAAGTATTAAAGAGGTGAGAACTGAAGAACAAAGAGCCACCAAATAAGTTACTGGAATACTCCTCGCCTTGCAACTGGAAACATGGCCAGTAATGTCATGAATAGCAAGCACATTTTAAGTCTACCCATATTATGCTGCTACATCAATTTGTCAGACAAAGTAAAAGTCTACCCATATTATGCTGCTACATCAATTTGTCAGACAAAGTAAACCAAAGTACGCTGTATGGCTGAAACAGCCTACGGACTTGCTTGTCATTACACCATCCAGTAACCTAAAACTACTTGTATAGCACAATGTGGGATTCAGCTAATACAGCAAGTATTCAACACAAAGTGAACTGTCTTAAACCAGCACAGGCTTTTTCTTCCAGAAGTCAGCCAAATGATTTGTTAGCACTGTCTTCCTTCATTGCAGGCTTTGTTCTGTGAGCACAAATGAGAGCTCTGATCCACAATCTTTCCTCATCCATATAACACAGCCTTCTGCCCAATTTACAGTCCACTGCAGGTAAAGGCAACCTAAGTTTGTTTTGTCAACATTAAAAGAAAAAATTGACCGAGCCATCAATTCCGTGGGGATTGATGAGGTTTGTTGAAAGATTATGTAGAGCAGTTAGAGTAGTAAACTTGTGTCTGAAATATGCAGAAATACACCACTACCTTAGAATTTGAACCTACCATTCATCAAGCTACTGAATTTATTAATTCATCGCCAAAAAAAAGTTCAATTATGCAGTCCAGAGAAATTTTAAATAAATATTTAAAGGCAAAACAGGAGAAGAATAAAAAGCTCACCATTTACCAACAACAGTAAAAGAAATCAAGAGAAGTTAACATTATGCTCTATGCAATAAAGCCACTCTGGCTTTCTACCTGAGGTACTACAGTCAGAACTGTGAGCAAAGGCACTCCTCAAGAACTAAGAATCATGCATTTATTTACAGCACCCAAGACAAGAAGGCAGAACAGGAAGAAACACACGACATGGCAACTAGAGTAACCAAAATGTTTTCCTACTTTAACATCTAATTAAACAAACACCAGCCACACATTTGAAGTCACAATGAAGACTTACTTCAGCTGTGCCATCCAAGATACTGTTAATAAACTGAACCATGTCTTCTGTATTCTCAATGTGCCTATCTGGTAGAAAATACTGCTGATTGGAGGTATTCAAAACAACAATAGTAGGGATTGTCAAGTCACTGGAAACATAAAACACAAAGTTAGAGATTTAAAGAAATACTGCCTACAACATTGCAGTTCAAATTTCTACATCATTCAATGGCATTCTACATCATTAATATTCTCTTCACGTGAGTTCCTAATACCAGTTCCTTAAAGACAAGGAGGAAGAAGGAACTTAACGGCACAAGAATGTTTCTCAATATGTTTCCTTCTCATCTGTGCCAGTGAAGCTACTGAAGTTTACTGTATTTTACATGCCCACAGCGATTGTAAATCAGATAGCTTGTGACTTGCCCATTAGTAAGATCTCACAGTAGCTTTGCATTTGAAATGTACTATTAGTAGAACACACTACTTTAGTGCACAAAAGTAAAACTTTAATCCAAAAATTCAGTCCCGTTTGATCAGCTCTAATCAATCAAATTCTGTGTCAAGTCAAGAGAGGAAGACATACCAACTGAAGTTCTATTACATAGTTTTTAGATATAACAGACAAACTACAGATTTTTTAAACCATTATTAGTCATCAATTTACATTCACATGCATAATCACTGCTGAGGATCACAGAATCAGGAAGGGAGCTGAGGAATTCCAAGACACCTATAGCTGACATTACAATGATGCTGTGTACCTCAGCTTCCACAAAGATGCATCTCTTCTTTCAGTAAAAGACCTAATATTCTGCTTTCTTCTTTTGTGCACAGTTTTAAGTACTATTATTTTTAACTCAACAGAAGCATTCTCATCCACTGCTGAAGAGAGAGATAAATGATAGTATCTACTAGTGGAGTTATAGGTAAATCAATAAGTGTATTTCTACCAGGGACTACTGGTGGAATTATTTTGTGCTTTGTGAAAAAAGGGAATTTGTTGCTGTGCACATCTACAAGAATAAAAACATATTCTGCAATAGATTCCTTGTGCTCCCAGAGGCTTTTTCTACCTGTTTCCAGTTGCTGCCATCTAGTGGAAAACTGAAGGACTGGCAATAACCTTTTACTCAAATTATTCAGGTAACCATGTGAACCACTTGTATCACTGAACAGATTTTACTGCTTTCTTCTAGTGCTTTTAAATCATGCTGGAAATGCATATGTTTTGTTCAGAAAATAAACTAAAAGCCTGTTAACAGCAACTTCCCCAGAAAACCACAACAAATTGTAAATTCACGCATTTTGTAGATTAACTTAGACAATCCAGTTGAACAGATCTAGCAATTATTAACAGATCACTTCTGCTGTGAATAGCAGTTCTGCCTTCTTTCCCTTCATTTTATTGTTCCTAGGGAACTCATTTCCCTCCCTAGTTCCTTTGTACATCAGTTCTGGTACTCAGCAGACCACACAGTAAGACACGGTGTTGTTTTTTTTGTTTGTTTGTTTTGAATCAGCAAAATAACCCCCCATATCTCCTTGCCAGAAAAACAAACATTTATGCCAGATAAACAAGCTGAGGCATCTCAGCAGACAGACATCGGAGCCTGCATAGGCAAGGCAATAATGAAGTGAAGAGGGTGTGTTTCTGGCAACTAGAAAGCACTATATCAATAATCACACCACTTAACTTCAATTTAGACACAGCTGTTTTCAAATTACTTTTCTTCAGGTACTAATCTGAATCACAGAAATACAGACCTAGTGCCTCGAGATTCTCCATTTATTTCCTAGAACTTTTAGCGGCACAAACACATTTGCACAGTTTAGAATGGAATATCTGAGTATCTATCTCAGTTTGTTATTCTGACCTTGTAGTCCTCTTGTGGTCTTAGATCTAGCATCCGCAACAGCTACAAGATCAGACAGATACAAGAAGACAGACACTGTGTAAGACGGACACTGCATACTAGAGCAGATACTCAGGCTCTGAGCTTTGATCTCTCGGAATGGGGCTTGGAATACTCTCCCACTACAGAGCTGGTATAGCAATCAGTTACCCTCTTCCTTCACTCAGAAGGCCAGAGTAGAAGAAGTGGTCAACAATAAATGCAAGGCGACCTCACTCTCCAATTATGTATTTTTGGAAAATAAGGGCAAATGTGAAGCATCTTAAGCTATTTAGGTATTTCAAAAGGTAAAAAGTACATACCAGGTGCATACAAAATCATTTATACATTTTATACTGCTTGTCTACACATACATGTTTGTGTGCCATTTCAACTCTCAAATCCATGGTGAAAACAGGAATTAACAGTATCTGTTAACTGATATTCCAATGCCAGCTTCTGAACAAATAAGACACCTATCTGTGGTTTTAGGAAGACATCTTATACAACTTCAGGCAAACCCTCTACTTCATTCAACTGCTTTTCAGAAAACGATGGCTCATAAAGCAAGAGCTGCTTAAACATCAGCCTTAAAAATGCACCAATAAGAATGAATGTGCCTCTCCAGAAATAAAAAACATAGCTAATGAATAAACATTTATATGTCCTGTTACAGCTTGACATAACTTTTGATTTTGCTAGTGTCCTGTAAATTTAACCGAAGGGAAAAAAAAAAATAGTTCTAATAGTTTATTTAAGAAAGTAAACCTAAAAGATGAACACTGACAATCAGCAGTACCAGAAGGCCAAACTTCTAACGTTAAATTATGTAGCTTTAATTTAACAAACAACTGATACTATATTATATACTGACTTCTGAGGAAATAAATTTTTTATTCCATGAAAATCCACTTCTTCAGAAGGATATGTTAAGTTATATTTAATTAGCAACAAATATAAGCAGAAAGAATACTGAAATAATAATTTACTTACTCCATTAGTAAGCTATTAATGTAATCATTTCCATCCATATGGCCAAACTGGAAATCCCTATAAGAAATGTATAATAAAAAGAAACAAAACAGAATAATGGATTTCAGCATCAAAGTAAATTTGTGTTTAAATAACTGTAACTCGAGAGCACACACTCAGCAATATAATGGAAAAAAACTGACTATGCTGCAGGACAATCAGCCAGCCAAAACACTGTTAATGGACTGGTCTTATTGAAATCAGCTTATAATTTTAAAAGACAGATACTGTAACATTTCTCAGGTGAAAAAATAACCGTCTTGGAAGGGTTAATGTTGAAGTTAAATGAAGATATTGTAGAAATCTGTGCATACCTGTGAAAGTGATCCCGATAATCTCTAGCAACTTCCTGAATAATAGATTTTAGTCTGGAGGGGAAAAAAAATGAAAAAACAACACTGAAAATCCAGTAAAATCCAAACACTTAGATTTCCCGAATAAGTGGGGAATAGTATCTCCTCAGTACTTCGGATTCCCTACCCCTCAAACAAAGAAAACACCTTGTTCATCTTGCCTTTTTTTTTTTTTTTAAAAAGGGTTGAAAGGCTATCTACCACATAACATCAACATTAGAAAAAGACTATCATACTGTTTTGCTCCATGACCTTCTAAAACAACCACCTTGTAAAAAAAACAACACAGATGACCTGGGAAAATAGTATATATGGTTTATGGTTAAGTGTTTTAAGTTATACTATGGTTAAGTGTTTTCTTAGCTTTCTTACATGTGCAATCAGAGACAGAGGAATGTCTTGTTTTTCCTCGTCTCTTCAGCAAGTTCTAACTCAATCGAAAATGTTTTTTTCTGGATGCAAGTTCTGCAAGTTAATTGTCAACCATCACTAAACTCATTTTAATGCAACTGAGATGAAGTCTTTTGTTTAACTTCACCAAGTTTATCTCAAAATTATGTGCATTCAAGTACTGTCTTCCATGTTAAAAGACTATGCAATCACTGTTTGTTCCTATGATCTCACTGGTAAGTGGGAGAAGAGTGATCCTGAAACATGCATCACCACCCTGAAAATCCACATGAGCTTCAGAGCCATAAATTGAGTCAAGTCAGTATGCTTGAAGTCTCTATGCTAGAGAACATTCACAAGTTAAAACCTTCCACTTAACCTAGCATTTCTAAATACTAAAACTTCCAAAATCCTGTAAATCAATGAAGTAGTTTTCCATCATACAAGCACATTTCTCCCAGTGTCACCAATACTGAATTCTGTACCTGGTATGTTCCAGTGAAGAGTTTTTATCATCAATAACTGCAATAGCCACAAGTTTTCCTAAAATAAGGAATAGAATGCTTGAAACCATTTAAAAACGCACACACGTTTTCAGATGGAAAATACTGCAACATTTCTGCAAATAGTCTTTGAAATAGGTATAACTTTTTTTCACAAACATATAAGAACATAGACATTTTATAACCTTGAAAACCTCAAACAATTCAGTGCATGCACTGAATATGAACTTCTTCTTAAATGGGAGGTAAATTATAAGGTATCCTGACCTGGAAATAATCAACAGGGATAGCATTTCTTCTGTTACTTCAGTGTATGCATGCCTTTAAAAGCAGTAGAAATCATTCCAGAATTCACTTGGATGCAAAGCTCTCACTTAACTTGAAAAAAAAATTTACCAAAGAAATGCTAAAATATTCTGAAACAGAGAGAGGTCCATTCTGGCACTTGGTAGTCTTCCTTCCTCACCATATCTACTCTAAAGGTATCTGAATCAGACACACATCTGAGTTAATCCACATTCAAAATTTTAAAGTACGTTCATAAAGCTGTCAGTATTCCAAGACTTAACATATAATTCATTCAGCCTGGAGAAGAGGAGGCTCAGGGGCGACCTTATCGCTCTCTACAGATACCTTAAAGGAGGCTGTAGAGAGGTGGGGGTTGGCCTGTTCTCCCAAGTGCCTGGTGACAGGACGAGGGGGAATGGGCTAAAAGTTGCGCCAGGGGAGTTTTAGGTTAGATGTTAGGAAGAACTTCTTTACTGAAAGGGTTTTTAGGCACTGGAACAGGCTGCCCAGGGAGGTGGTGGAGTCACCATCCCTGGAAGTCTTCAAAAGACGTTTAGATGTAGAGCTTAGGGATATGGTTTAGTGGGGACTGTTAGTGTTAGGTTAGAGGTTGGACTCGATGATCTTGAGGTCTCTTCCAACCTAGAAATTCTGTGATTCTGTGATTCATGCAAAACCTACACTGCTGTTAAATTAAAAGCCTTACTTAGCTTTTGTGAATACCACAGGGTTAGACATACTTTATGTTGTGAGTAAAGGACTAGTGCAGGCTTTGGATGAAGACTCTAGTTAGTAGAAAAGGTCCAACTAACTTCAAAAAACAGCAGACATCATTAATTCTAACTTTCAGAACAAGCAGTTTTTCATTTTAGTGCTGTTTCTTAGTGGTCTTTATTTTTCCTTAATGCCTAAGTTCAGTTTCAGAGATCAGACTTCATATGTAGCAGCATCTCACCTGTATCTCCAAGTTCATATAATGTAAAGCCATCTACATTAAGGTAACCTTGAAATCTTTCTCGATTTATCCAGGATGACAAATCACCATCTTCATATTCTAAAAAATAAATAATGCTAGAAATTAAAGACACATCATGAATTAACAAATACCTTTTTTTTTTTTTGGTAAGGTGAGCAATTGGATTTATTAATGCCAGGTGAGCAGTATGCTCTCATTCCAAAATTATTAGTATTAATCAGAATACTAAGTTTACTATAAGCTACATTCATTGCTAAAATGCTCCAATGACCAGCTGACTTTATCTCAACTGCCTCCCTGTTCCCTCCCAAAGATTCCAAAAGAAGTGAAAGGCAGAGAAATACTTAAGTATTTTCTATACTCTACCGAAGATTTAGGCTGTAACTCTGCACAATAAATGTCAAAGTTTTACCCATGGAAATAATGTCAGCACTGCAGATGCAAACTTCTTTTTGTTGTTGTTAGACACATTATTAGACATATCAGTTTTAAAACTTCTCATGCTATTTTCAATTGTTAAATAAAAAGTATGAAAAATTGATTTGATGACTACTTTTTGGTCATGTCAAGGATAAACGATACTATTCTAGGAGACAACTGTGACTCAGTACAGACAGGAACAGTTTAAAACCCTAAGAAGAGTTTCAGACTAAGAGAAGAGATACAAAAATACACAAAGCAATGTTTGTGAACATTAAATGAAACAGAGGAGTCCAGAAAAGGTACATCCATTAACAGCTTTGTGAATATAAACACAAATATTTACATGAAATTCACAATCAGTTATACCGAAGACTGTAATTTCAAATGCTAGATGTTCTGACCCATAAAGAAACATGATGCACAGATTTACACACATACATATATAAATGTATATTAAATAAATTTGCATTAAATCCTAACATTGGGTAGAGTGAATCATCACTAAGTTAGGCATCACTAGGTTAATGCTGAACTGTCATAAGACTGTAGCATGCAATTTCAAATATAAAGCTTCCCACGGAGCTACATCCCTTACTGTGGAAAAAAATACAGATGAGGCCAGAACTTAGAAGTGAATTTTGCTAAACCATTTCCTTTCACTGAGATCTTCAATTTTTTTCTCAATTGTAACAATTACACATACAACCTTATCCAGCCTCTCATAACGTGTTAGACGTATAACTTTATCCAATCTGTTATAGTATAAATCAAATTATGCAAACAGTACATTTCTAGTCCTTTATGAGTAAAATTTTTACAAAATAGATTAGAAAAAGTAAGCTTAAAACACACATCCCCTTTTTATCTATATGATAGGCATTCTGTCACTGGTATTTCAGAACAGTATTATTCTCAGGTGGACTTTCTACAGTCTGCAAGCTGAACAAGCCAGTCAGAATAGTTTATGCCACCTAAAATCGTGCATCAGCTATTGCAGTAACAGCTCACACCCCCTTCACTTCTTTTTGGGAGGCGCTTGGAAAAAGCTGCGGCTTTTTCCGTTCAGAAACGGAAAAGACAGAAAAGGAACAGACTGAAAGTTCAACTGTTCTGTGCATGCTTGATCAGTTATCTAGGGAAATGTTATGTTGCCTGATCCTTTCCCACTACCAATATATAAGTAACACAAACACAAAAGTCACAAAAGTCACATATGCTCAAAGCTGTCATTTAAGTCTCTCTAAATTTTAATATTGAGAATAAAGGCAGGATCGCTTTACTTCAGTTTTTAAAGGAAGAATTGCTGTGCTAAATATACAGCCTGTATTATCAAGACACAACAAGCTACTTTACTAAAGTAGAGTACAAATCAAATTAAGTCCACGAGAAAGATATGATGGTCAGGAAGACTATTTAGAGATAATCTGATTAAATGTTTGGAACAGTAAACTCCCCTTTTAGATATAATACCGTTTTTCATTGTATCTGAATTTCCCAACACCTGTGTTACGTGACTCCTCTTCAGCAGCAGTTTTCTTCTACTTTTCATATAATTAATTTGGACAGTGAGTGAAGGAAAATATTTAAGCGTTTTAATGCCAGCAAAGCAGTAATATTAGAAGCTGTGTCTCAGTGAATAACACAAAGTAACCCCCTTAACTTCTACTTCAGTACTGATAAGACCCATTCCTTCTCAAATGCACTGTGTTCAGTAAGTAATTTTTTCCATATTTCTTCATGAAATAGCTGTTATTTATCACAAAACTGGGAAATTTCCCACCATCCCAACTTGACCTTCATAAAAATTCTGCTTCTTCCAGTTTCTCCATAAATGCTTTCAGTATCTTGTCTTAAGGTAATGTACACTTTTACTTACCATCATATACAAAGTAAGTTCCATCTTTGAAAACAACAACAGCAGGCAATTCTGGCAAGGTCACATACTGAAAGAGAGATGTTCAATTAATCCACGGAAGAGTAGAAATCTTTTTAAACAATCATCTCAGAAGCGTGGAAACGTAGCCCAGTGGAAAATTGTGAAGTACATTTAAACATTCTGTATACATTTATAAACATAAACACCCCCAATTTTCCACTATCACAAAGTAATGCTACATAAAACTATTTTTGACAGGTAGGGCTCACAAACTAGAAACCAAGCAGGATTTTTAATAGTATCTGCAACAGCATGAAGCAAGTTTTATTGAAGTTTGACATTAACTTTAGACAGCTCATAACATGAGCGTTCCATCAATCCTGTACTGTTCTCTCCTCTCAATTTGTGCTGTAATACAGTTGCTTCTACTAAATGGTCAGTCAACAATACTGAATAGTAGAAGAGTAACATTAATAACGTGTCCCACTAAATCTGGGCTATATTTCCTGTGGTTCAAGCTAATGGAAATACAGAGACACATTTGTTGTTTCTTGGAAATATAAGAACAGTATCACAAGTACTAATTGACATGTTCTGTAATCATTCTGCATTATCTTTCTTGGAACAAAATGTAAAAACAAATCAGCTTATTATGTAATAGCTCATATTAACGAGCAAGGTTAATTCTAGACATTGGAATACATAGATGGCTATAAAAAATACACCAGTTCACACTCTGCTAATCTGAAACTAATTTCAAGGTTATGCGTTGTCAAATTCTAAGCAGACATAGATCCCATTTGGAGATAACTAGAAATGAAAAAGCCTCTTGATTCTGCTTCAGCACTTAAGTAACAATGATTAGACTAACAACAGTGGTAGCAATTTTTCACCCTTGTGATTAAATACAAAATTATTTCCTTTCCACCAAAGAACTCCATCTTCCAAGAGCTACAGTAAGATTCTGCAGTCAGCAGACTAGACAGACTAGTGTTTTTATCAGCTGTATTGCACACACTGGAAATAACTTGTTTTTCACTGAACTCCCTGATACTCATGGTTACCAGTGGCATACCATGCTGCACCCACTCAAACTAGTTATAAAAGTGGCTGGTGAAAGGGCTTCCAGGAGCAACAAGGGCTTTATGTCAGCTCAGAAATGAAGTATGCATATTTCTGAATAGGTTTGTGATTTACTATAAATGTGATTTAACCAGTTTATTAACTGGTTTTATATTAACTGGTTTAGTAATATTACTGAACAAGTCATTTGTACAATACAAATCAAGTAGACAAACCTAGTTTGTATTTTTTTTCTCATACAGACTCAAAAAAAAATCTGAATGTTAGTATAATTAGTTTGAAATTTATCAAAGACCAATATACTGTAGTAAGCAATCTCTGTGGTACCAGAACCTACAGAGGAAAGCTCTACCATTTCTATGGAAACAGTAGGAGCTGAACAGCTTACCTCAGGTAGCACATCTTCTGAGGCAGAAAAAAAGTACGTATAAACAATTAGTTCTGAAGCAACTTCAATGTATTTTTCCTGCAAAAAATACAAACATTTTTTTAATGTCTCAACTTTGAGTATGCTTCAAAGGAATGCTTTGCAACTTACCTTATCTTCAATGACTCATTAGAAAATATGGTTAGGACAAAATATTATAAAAACACTTATTACAAGCATGTACTTTCTCCAGTCTCTAAACTTTTTATACATTATTTTAAACTATGTCTGTGGAGAGCCAAAATAAATAACTTTATTTAATCAAGTTTCAAACCTTTAAAGGAGATTCCCCACCAACATACACAAAAAGTACACGATGCCTCTTTTGCACATGTTCGAACATATGCTGGCTAGGAAGTGGCCTGATAAGAGGTCTGGGAAGAAAAAAGAAAAGAAAAAAAAAATCTTAGTTTCTACAAGCTGCAAAAACCCAAATAGAAATCCCCAAGAAAATGCACAGGTGGATTCTTTTTCTAAATTTCCCTATTCAAATTCATTTAATGTATTATTTCAGTTTCTATTAAAAACAGAAAACACCCTCCCAATTAACTTGCTATGTTCCTCAAATAACACACAAATTTCAAGTCAGTTGTACAAAGTCGTACAAAACGCTGTCACGATGTTAACACCCAAGCCATTTACCAACTGTATGATCATTTGAGAGAAAAATTGCTGAATGTAAGGACAGCAGGCAGAGGATATAGTCTTCGAAATAAATATTCTTTAAAAATTCTAGTTATTAGAGATCACAGACACTCCTAAACTACAGAATTCTCAACAATAATTAATAATATAAATTCATATGGATGAATTTATATCTTGATATGTAAGGATGAAAGGAAGTAGCTTGATTCTTTTTTCTCCCCAAAGGCCTCTCAGTATGAGTACTACTAAGATTCTGTCTTAGTAATGTCTCTATATATTAATCAACATTTAGGTCAGTATCCTTGTCTCTGGCTTCCATGAGTTTCCTTTACCCATGTTTTTCACTACTTTGAGAAGCCCTAGTTCTTCGTTCTTGCACCGTAAAGAAGTGCAAGTATGACTAGTCAGTCTCTATTCACCTTCTTCATGCCACTCAACAACAACCTCAAATGCAACTACATGTATATTGCATGTAACTTTTCATGCTAGTGCCTTTTTTTTTTTAATTAATTGCATTTTTGGCCCACCTCAAAAAAACCTACACAAGTAGTCTTACAGAACTGTATACTCACCCTGCTACTCTATTAGCAAATTCAATTATATCATCTTTTGTTCGAGGTCCTCTATAGTTGTATGCCAAATCACCTTTTAAGCTGGATAAACAGGAAAGGCAAAAAGGAAAGAATGAACACATATTAAGAAGCTACAGATTCTGAAAAATAGAATAAAACCAACTAAAATATAGCTGTACACGTAGCCCTGCAGAGAAGAACTTGGGGGTTCTGGTGGACAAAAAGCTCAATATGAGCCTGCAGCCCAGAAGTACAACTGCGTCCTGGGCTGCACCAAAAGAGCCCCACAGGTCAAGCAAGGTGATTCACTACTTAAAGGGGGCTTAAGAAAAGGCAGAGTGACTTTTTTACATAGGCATACAGAGATAGGACAAGGGGGATCAGTTCTGAACTGAAAGAAGGTAGATTTGGATTCTTTACTCTGAGGGTGGTGAGGAAAAGTTTGCCCAGAGAAGCTGTGGATGCTCCATCCCTTGAAGTGTTCAAGGCCAGGTTGGATGGGGCTTTGAGCAACTTGGTCTACTGGGAGGTGTCCCTGCCCATGGCAGAGGGGTTGGAACTGGATGATCTTTAAGGTTCCTTCCAACCCAAACCATTCTCCGATTCTATTCTATGAGTAATTATACAATCTTCACACTTTTATTAGTCATCTGTTAGCAAGTGATAAGCAAGTTTGTCAAATAATCAGTCAAAACAAGTTATCAGTAAAAAAAAAAAAAAAAACAACAAAATTCGTTAATGGAATCATGGAGTAAAAATTTGTTTATAGAATACCTAACTTACTGATTTCTAAAAGTAATTACTTTTTTTTCCTAGTGCACAGCAGTCGTTTACTTCGTAAAGACACCTGCCATTGGGAACATTTGCTTATAATACAATAACAAAAATAAACCAAAAAAATTTAGCATCACTTTTTTTGTTGTTGTTAATAACCAAAAAGTACCAAATGACCTGCAAAATCTTCTAAACGTATCTACTAAACTAAGCTTCCAAGAAGTGTTGGTCAGTTTGTTATTCTTTGTTGGCAGGGAATGCAATGTGTTTGCACTGTAAGTGTATTCAAGTAAGATTTACTACATTCTAACAGGGCTTTATTTGAATCCAAATAAGTTTAGAAAATCCACATGAAGAAAGCAACCGTTAAACCAATTTTCTATGATTCTATACACCAATAAATTTTTCATCTCTAAAGATTAATATGCTAAATGTCTAACCCATTTTTGAGAAACCTAAGTTGAACAAATATATATTATAAACACTATTTGCTTAAACAATAAACGGCTAAAAAGCCCAACATATTCAGTGAAAAGTAGCTAAAATTAATAACTCTTTATTTAAGATGACCTTGTACTAGACTATACACTCCACATATTATAAGCACATGACATAAAAGAAAAAAAGGTCATATATTATCCTCCATCAATTTTTCAGTCAGTTAAGTGAGAAAAAAAGCCACATATATGCCCCTTGCCAAACAACTGCTCTCACATTTTACCCTGTACAATAACCGCTGCTGTCAATTACGTAAGATTTTTGGGAACACTTAAGAGAAGGGAGTCATAATTAAGAACAAGGAAGTGTAATCGGCAAATTACAGAAATTAACGGGAAGACTTAGGTACGTACTTACTGCCTGAATCACTCGTAAGGTAAAAAAAAAAATTGGTGCATAACAATCATTTTAATATTTCATTCTTATCATATATATGATATATATTTCTATACACTTTTAAAGTTACCTATGGAATAGAGGGTAACCGAACTCCAAATTTGCTAAACTTTTTTTTTTTTTTTAGAAAAACAATTCAGTAATATCAAGCATCTTGATTAGAATTTCAAAGCAAAACACAGCCCAGCCAAAATCATCAATATCATCAAGAGGAGATGGTGCTTTTTTTTTTTTTAAATAGAGAACACTTCCTTTTATTAGATCAGTTTTAGGAAAGGTAACTTAAAAATAATTTAATGGGAAGCATCAACTTACAGCTTAATTGTTGGATAGCCTCGCACTCCAAATTCAGATGCAATACCTGAAATACATGCATTAATGCCAAACTGAACCAAGTGTTTCCTGCTCTCCTAACTTAAGGCTTAAACAGCGCTTACTATTCAAGCCACATAAATAAACAAAAAACCTACCGATTAGTTCAATATTTCCTTTCAAAATTTGCTGTTAGGAAACTTCATTACATTTTGGACCTCCTACTGTGGTACTGCAGGCTCCCAGCATAGACTCCCGATTTAGATGCCAGAATTAAAATTACATGAGAACCAATTTCACCAGAAATAGGTTTTCTAAGCAATCAGTCACTTACCTGCTGCTTGCAAATTGATTAAAAAAAAAAGACAATTGCAGCTCTTTTCCCCAGCCCCCACCTTGCCTAACATTTGTCATTTACAATATAATTTGCAATATCCTCCCCAGTTGTGAACACAAACTGCCACTTTAAACAGTACCTTCCAGCCAATTCAGTGTTTTCCAGAAGTTAAAATAAGCACCCTTAAAATAAAAAAAGTCTAGAATTAGTCTAACTTCTAACAATACTTCCACAATTCCCTGCCAAGGGTGGGGGTGGGAAACACCAAAACCCTGCACTAAAAATGCACAAAAATTAAATACTTTTAAGCATAAACATACTGTAGCTACCGACCAGATGCCAGAGGAGCAAATATGGGAAGACCTGTGTGCAGGGCTCTGCATAACAATTCAGAAATTGTGTCTTAAGATTGTTTGCCTGGGTCAAAAACCTAACTACAAAGAAATACAGATTAAACTAGCAATTCACATACTTGCACCTAACTCAAGGAAGACCAATCTGAGAAACACACAGACTGTGCTCAATTTCATTCTGATCCTTTCCTCTCATATTTGTTTTGTTAAAAACTAGAACAAATTAGTGTATTAAAATATTCAATCACAAGAGCTGTCATTACGTAGATTATTTCTCCTTGCAGAGCTCTTAAAGCACAGTTGAAAAAACTACAGAATAGACAGGTTTTATTTTTGGTTTGGTTTTCAAAACATTCCAGCTATGGAGATTGCTAAAATTTTCTCAGCATCATGGAAGAGATTTATTTACACCATCATCATCTGGTGATATGAAGAATGCAGTATAGGCAAACAGCAGCAACTATGCTAAACCCAAGCATGATTTTTACCTTTGATCATATTCAATGGACTTCTAAGTCAAACCTGCACAAAAATTCAACTGACAGCAACAGAATTGTCACCCGATAAGGTGCCACCTGCATCCTCATTCCATACAGCTACCAGAGGCAAAATTTATTGAATGCTTTATATATATTTAGTTTCCAACTCAACATTTGATGACAAGCTACCCAAAGTTCAGACAGTTCACAATGCTTCACATTCCCATCAGGAATACAAATTATTTACAGCTAACCATTCATGTTCCTTCATAGCCATGTCTATGCACCCAGCTGCACCTCCTTCTGATATTGGAAGGAATTATTCAAGGGTGAATTATTTAGATTTCACAAAATCTTTAGATTGCGAAGACATTATCTCCTACCAAACAATACTTACTAGAAAACGAAGTTGCATCCATCTTCCCAACTTTTACTGGAGAGCCCATGTTTCTCATTTCTATACCCACTTCATTCCACACAGGCTCCAATTTCTTGCAGTGGCCACACCAAGGTGCATAAAACTGAGAAGGAAATACATTGCATTAAAAACAAAAAAAAAAAGATAGAGAAGTTAATTAGCCCTCGGACACATTAGCAAGATTTATTTTCCAACTGTGTTCTTCTTTAAGTTTGTCCTGGTTTCAGTTAGGAGAGAGTTAATTTTCTTCCTAGTAGCTGGTGGAATGCTGTGTTTTGGCTTAGGATGAGAAGAGTGCTGGTAACACCCCGATGTTTTAATTGTTGCAGAGCAGTGCTTATATTAAGCCAAGGACGTCTCAGCTTCTTGCTCTGTCCTGCCAACGGGCAGGCTGGGGGTGCAGCAAGAGCTGGGAGGGGACAGACCCAGGACAGGTGACCCAAACTAGCCAAAGGGGTATTCCATACCATCTGGGGTCATGCTAAACAATATATAGGGGTGGCTAGCCAGGGGAGGGGGGCCGGACTGCTCGGGGTTAGGCTGGGCATCGGTCAGCGGGTGGTGTGCAATTGCATTGTGCATCACTTGTTTGTACACATTATTAGTAGTAGTACTATTATCATCATTGTTATTATTATTATTGTTATTATTATTGTTATTATTCTTTTCCTGTCTTATTAAACTGTATTTATCTCAACTCACGGGCTTCACTTTCCATTTCTCTCCCCCATCCCAGAGAGGGATGGGGGAGGGTGAGTGAACGGCTGTGTGGTGTTTAGCTGCTGGCCGGGTTAAACCATGACAAAGTTGTAAGACAGTAAGCCTGCATGTTACTTACAAAGCTGAAGTGACAAACTGAGCTTTTATGATTTGGTAATACTTTTAGTATGAAAGCAGAAGTTTGAAAAGAATGCATTCAGTTGCTGCACTATTATATCACTTCTTCTTTAAAAAAAAAAAAAAAGACTTGTGTAGCATCTATTAAAAAAAAAAAATCTCTTGAAATACTTTTCTCTATTTATGGAAAGTTAAAACATCATGTAATCAATCTATCCAGGAATATGAACTTATTTGCCAAAAGGAAGAGGACATGCATACTTCTCAAAGCTGTCTCTCTGGATTTAATTTTTTTCAGGAATCACCTTTATACAAACACAGTGTAAAATCAATCCCATTTTGTCAAGGCCAGGGCGACCTGGGAGACTTCATTTTATCTTTCTGCCTATGTCTTGCCACAACACCTCAGTAAAATTCTCAGAGAAGATTCTAACGTAAATTTCAATGTATAACAAGATCAGATCACAAGCAGATAAAGCTGGATTTTGTCTAATCAATCATGAAGCAGCATATATGGTTTTCACCAATCAAATATTACATCTTTATTATCTTTCCAAGTATGTTGGAAAGAAAGAAACCTTTCATATATTTGATGCTGTAGTGCTACATATCTAGCACAAATTAGGTGATGTAGCTACAATGGAATTGTAAAAAAATTCTGCATGCAGGTTATTAATTAACTCCTCACTGTGTTAGACAATCTGCTTTCCTTTTTTAAGGACTGTAAAATATAGGATGAAGCCTGTCTGCATTCAATACTCAGTCTAAATCCTGTTTCATTCTGAACAATGCAGGAAGATTGCTTATCCATCCTGTCAAAAGAACAGTCACGTAATTTTTCTGCACCACATACAAATGAATTCCCAGATGATGAAGCAGCCTTACTACATCATACGTTTTATGCTTTGATTTCTATTAGCTTGGTATGAAATGAAGAGCAAGCCTTCAAATTTTTCCTCATATACTCACATCTACAAGCCAAATATCATCTTTACGGTTTTCTTTAAACCTAGAAGGGGAGAAAATAAAATATATCTGAATATATATTAATATATCTGCAAATACATATATGAACTGCGTGTGCAATGAAGTAAAAGTCTACAATTAATCTGTTATAAAACTATAGATGATAGATTTGTTTTGTTTCTTTCTTGGAATGGGGAGAAGGTGTAGAAAAGGAGGAAAGTTATTTTTCATTAAAATAGCCTCTGCATGTGCACAATTATTTTTTTAATCAATTATGCTTCTACGACCATTTGCCAAGACCAAAAGGAAACTAGAACCCGGAAAACATACCAAAACCTCAAAAAATATTTGATTAGGATATGTAACCTAAGCAGGAGAAGTGTTCTCTTGCTGTTCTTGTTATATTAAACACCGCATACTGTTAACTATTCAGAATAGATAACATTTTTGTAGAGGAACTAATTCACTTTCCTAGACATTGGTTTGCACTGTTAATCTTAGCTTTACTGAATGTATGCTAAATTATTTTTGTGTTACATGCAGAGCAAATTTAATTCAACCTCCTTCAATATTCTACCTCTCTGCCCCTTTTCATCTACTACAGGTGTTATCAGTTTAAATTTTTATAAAAGTTAAATGAAAAAAATTAATGGAAAATAAATAATTTGAAAATAAATCTGATGAAAACCATGGATACACTGGTACTATTGAATACTCTTAATGCTAGAGCAAGGACATCTTAGTGAACTGACTATCTTTACCAAAAACAAATCTGTCGCTAAATGCAAAAAATCCAAACAAAAATAGAACATGATGCATCAAAATCCCTGGGTACCTCTTGAAATGTTATTTACACATTTCACGGCACTGTTGTTACTACAACAAAATCATGGAAATTATCTAATTACTTAACTATTTCTATTTTGAGAATTAAATAAACTACATTTTGTACGTAAAGTTGTTTCTTGTTATAAAAAGATGGGCTTTCATAAAAGTAACTAGAATTAAGAGAAATTACGTTTGAAACTTTTAATTAAAAACTTATGGTGGTAATTTGAACCCTTTTTTGTTTTATTGATGGAATATCAAGGTTGCAAAGCTTAAAGTGGAAAAGGTATTTTTTAGTCTCTAACATAACTAGTAGCTACAATAAAGCAACATTTCAAAGTCATGATTACTTTAGTACATTATCTCACTAAAAACGTGCTACAGAACTACTGAAAACTAGTTAGAGCCTTGCATCTCTTGAGAACTTTAATGAAGTTCCAGCTACCTTCCAATTATGAAGACAACTAATTGGTCATGATGCAAGAGGCAGAAAGAAGCTACTGAAGCATCAGGTACTGGGCTTAAGCTTGCATTTGGAGTATTACCTTTAGTATGTACAAACAAGAATTTACAATGAGTTGCTCTTCCTGTCATTGTGACAGGGAGAACAGAAACAAGAAACAGTACTGAAATTGTACAGAACACTGAAGCATTTGGAAAGGTAGGCTGGAGTCTTATAAAACTAGTATACAGCAAGAAACTGAAAGAAAGGCACCATCTGAAGACTGTACATTCCAATGAAATTTAATAATTTTGCCAGCACGTTCACTGGGCCTAAGATGCTATGAGAAAAAACTAAGCATTGTAGTCTAAGTTGTACAGCTGATTTAACAGCACCTATTTAGTTAAAACATCAACATCCACAGAAATTAAAATCCAAAGCGTAACATTACCAGAACTAGCCTGAGTTCAGATAGTTGTTTTTGTCAATGATTAAATTATTAGACTGTATCAAAGCAGCTATACGCACTGTTGAAGAAAAATTATCTGTACAAACAGGTATTTCAGCATTTTCTACAGGCCCTGTTTCTAGGCATGTAAACACATTCCCAAGAATAAAATTTAGTGTTTCCTTATTAACTGTCCTATGCAATCCTCTTGCAGCCAGCAGACACAGGTACAGTCATACTGGTAGAAAGATGATACAGGTGTTGCATATACTTGAAACAAAATGATTTGTCTCAAAAACATACAACCTCCCAACATTTGGAGGAATACTACGTGATCAAATGTCCCCTCACCTCCATTTAAGTATGTACCCCATAAAGACAAAGGCCAAAATTTCAAGGGACTTAAAACCAACCCAGCCGCTGCTTCCACTCCCCCCTCTCCCTTGCACCATTTCTGATGATTCTGATCCTGGGCCAAGCTCCAACAGCATCCTCACAAACAGCAAAAAATACTTCCTTTTTAGTCAGGTTACTTCATTATAACAATGCAACAACTCAGTAAGTATTACAGGGTGAGTACTGATCTGAGGCAGCCAGCAGTAAGGTTAGCATAAACTGATAGGAACCATCACTCTGACTTTGCATCCCTTTAATGACGTTGGGTGATGACGAGTAATTCACATCCGTTATTTCCTGCTATGTGTTAGTTTCTGTCCTACAAACTTGGGAAAGGGACCTGCAGCTTGCACTTGCAGGCATTATTTGCAACTACCAAGAAAGTTTTTTTTTTAAAAAAAAAAAGCTTTCATTACCCAAAATATATGGAGTTTTTGCTCCTATCTGCAAAACTGGGAAACTAGAAACTTCTACCACTCACTGCTCACAGTTTCTTCTTCTCTCCCCCCCCCCCATTTGCCAGTTAGCTAAAAAGAAAAAATTATCCTGAACAACTTACTACTTAATTCATATTCCCAACTGTTGTAAACTCTGGCATTGGTATAGCTAAATAGTTGAAAATTAAAAGAGTTCTAAAACAGGCTTTTCTTTTATCAGATATTTCACAAAAGTTACATGACAACAGAATTATGCTTCTTTACTCCAAACAACTACATTTAAATTTATACCTGTGGAAACATGACATGGGAACATGATGTGGGAGCAGATGTACTTTACTTTATTCACTTAGTCTCTTTATCTTCAGTATGAGACATGAAAATATGAGGCATGGAACAAAAACAAGCTTTGAAAATCAACTCGAAGCAGTTCCTGCATTCCAGCTACTCTTTCGTAACAATTTAAACACCAGTCAGAGATGCTGAGGAATCTCTCTTTGATGCCCTTTCAATACGTGCCCACTCCCTCCCCCATAACTTCACTGCAACTCATTTGATCCCACGATTATCTGCTCTAGCTGAATCAGCAGTACATTTAAAACAGAAATGAATGGCTTTCTGACCACATAGCTAAATGAAGCAATTTATCATGGACTGAAGCCTCGTGAAACCACCTGTGACTGACTTAAGCTTATCATGAAGCAGCTATCTAATGCCTTCTCTGATAGCAAATACTTCCTATACTTTCTATTTTCGCTCTAATAGTCACTCTGCTTTTTAGTATGTCAGACCAACTTGCTGATCTGGCCAAAAGAAGTTATACTCATTTTCATTAAGTTAGTTTTTAGTGGGAACAGTAAGTACATTGCCACAGAACTACTACAGTGAAGCAAATAAAGACAGTACACAACCAGGAGTACCCATTTCAACACTTTCACCACGTTAGGGCTACATTTGCTGCAAAAGCACGTTTTTACGCTGGAACACACCTGGCACTTCAGGCAGCCGTGGACCAGTTGAGCAAGCCTGCCTTTTTCCTCCTCGGTTTCTGGCCAAGCATGAACACACATTTACCCCTCCTCCCAACTCCCCGTGGCAGCCACATGGCAAAAGCATATGGAGAATTTAGTGAAGCGCAATCAGCTTCAAAATTTGGGATGGCTACCAGATCAACAGTGTTCTTTCTTTTTTTGGTGGAAAAAACACAAGAAAATGTGTTTATTTGGTGGAATAAAAACGAGAAAGCCTGAGAACGTTTTTAGAAATAGAATCCGTAACAACACCTCAAAACAAATCCTCAAAATTAAAACATTCCCCAGATTAGCTGATGACAACCACTAAACGCAAGCCACAGCCTTTCTGCCATTCATTTTAAGGAAGAAGTTAACTTTTTTGCAGTGTAATTTTCTGGACAACCACACGCTGCACAGAGCCATCGGTTGGGGTATGGGTCCAGCTTGGTGTTCCCCCTCTGCCCCTCCAATCCCCCCAAAGCCATCCAACGTTTAATTAACACCACAACACACACACACACAGCACTTACGATTCATCCAGGTCCTCCACAAAAACCGCACCTGACGATGCCAGCGCGAACGCAACCACCGCTAGGCAAAGGAAAAGGGCACCGTGAGTAACCCCCGCAGCCACCTCCTTTCCTCCCTCTCCCCCCGCGCCTCCGGGACCCTCTCGCAGCCCCCACCGCATCCCCCAAAACCCTCCCCGAGCCCCGGCTCCCCCCGCAGCCCCCCGCCTCCACCTGCCGCCCAGAGGGGGCTGCCCGGCCGGCCGCCCGGCGCCGCGGCCATGTTGCGAGAAGCCCTGGCAGGGCCGGAAGGGGAAGCGGCGGGCGGCGGTGCCGACCTCTCACCGCCGCGCATGGGCGCAGGAGGTGGGCGGCGGCTGCTGCCTCGGGGGGTAGCGGTGGCTGCGGCCCCGGCATCCGCAGGGCTGGTTCCTGCCTTTTTTGTCTCGTCTGGGGAGCTGTGTTTGGGAACGCAGAGGGTATGGGGCAGCTGAAAGCTGGCTCTCCAATGCTTGAGGCGTCCCCACGGTTTCTGCCTTCGGTAGCGGGTGGAAGGCTTGTGCTCGTGTGTGGGGCTGCAGGGTGCGGAGCCTGCCAAGAAGCCGGCATTGTGGTCTCACCCACGGTTTGCAGAGTTGGGGGCCTCCTTGCCCTCTCATTAAATAAAAACAATGTTCCGATTCCTTGAAAAGTGAGTTTCAACTGATCTCTGCCCTGTCTTTGAGCGGTAGAACCTCATACTCCACTGCTTACTGATATATCAGCAGCCCTACTTCATCACGTTCGTGAAAAACACAGGCTCTCTTACTGCTTTATATCATTCATTTTAATTTTCCTCATCCTTTGAAACCTGTTAGAGGTTTTCATATCCTCAGCTAGTTTGCTTTCAGTACAGATTTGCAAGTCCTGGAAGGGCAAGTAATCCAGCCAAGAAACCTCTTTTTAAAAGGCATCTTTGTCATACCTTTCATACCTTTTTTTTAAAAGGCAGGTGTTTAATCTGTGACTGCTCAGTCTACATAAGACGAGACTCAGACAGGATCTTATTAATGCATATAAACATCTGAAGGTTTAAAGGGAATTAAGCAAGGCTCTTTCCTGTGGTGCCCAGTACCAGGACAAGAGGCAGTGGGCACAGAGTGGAGCACAGGACAGGAGGTTCTCTCTGAACAGCAGGAAGCATTTCTGTGCTGTGCAGGTGACCAGCACTCAATCCTCTATGTTCAAAAGCTACCTGGACATGGTCCTGGTCTCTGGGTGTCCCTGAGCAGTGGAACTAGACCAGATGACCTCCAGAGATCCCTTCCAACTTCAGCCATTCTGTGATTCTGTTTTTATGTTGGTTTTCACTTTTGCCTCCTTGTGGGTAACAACTAACATTCTTTTCTCCCCCATACTGGAGTTACTTGCCTCAGCCATGCAAGAAAATGTTTGAAGGTATGATGGGGAGAAGGATAAATCTTTTCAAATGAGAACTCAGTTCCCCTGACTCCAGCCTTCAAGTCACTTTTTCTAATGGCCAGGTCTACGTAAAGCAGCAAATATTACAGTTGCCTCACGTTTGGGTTTCTGTGTGTGTAAGCCAGGTGCATATGTTGATACATACGTTACTTCTCTAGCATAAAACATAAAATAATACTTAGTGGCTGTAGCATATTGGACTCATCACATAATACCAAGAACTGTCCAGCCCTTTGGAAAGGCCAATTACCATGTCATAAGTTATTGGTTGAGAAATAGGTCAAGACCTGTAAGTGTATGTCATAGCTCACATTAGTATTTTAATTATCTGACTTTGGCCTGCAATAGACATCTTTTTCTTACTCAGGTTTGTCTGAAAAATTGCACAGCATTACACACTTTAATAAGACTATTTCACACTTTATTTTTTCACAGGCAGTGGGAGAACTAATGAGTTGCCAACATCTGTATTGAATAAACTGTGAAAATTATTCAGTGAATACATAGATTTTCTCTTCCACAGCATTTCGCTTTCTGTATACCACTGTTAGCTAACTGGTGTCAGTGTACGCCTGACCAAATGAGAACTGGCATCTGTCTTGATCCTAATCTAGCTGCTGTCTAGACTGAGACAATGAAAACAATTTATCCTATCAATCCTTTAGCAGGAGAATACGGGACTAGCCAGATAACTGTTAGATTAATATAATCCTGTTCTCTTAGTCAGACACAGTTTGCTTTAAATAACTTTTACACTGAGAGGAACATTTTGTATAGTTTGGTGTAGAGTTGGTGAAAACTATTTGCACATCCTCTAAGTCCACTTTGTCAAGCTTTGAAGTTTACTCTCTCTGCAAATAATGGAATATGATTGTTCTGTCTTTTGCGTTTTAAGAGATAAATTCTTCTTCAGCAAGCACGTACACTATTCTTGAACTAGATTATTTTGAGATCTAAGGAGTCACTGTATATTTACTTCTTCTTAACTAAATTTGTATACACCCACATGCACAATATTACACTGTATCTATTTGTACAATTCATAGTGCAGGCTTACTGCCCAAAGTGGGATACGCATATAAAAGGTCTTGCACTGAAGAAAAGAAACAAGGTATTACGGGAAATGCATGCAACATGTGAAAGAAAGAAATAAGATAATGATAGGTGATTTCTAGAGAAAAATCAAATTTTTAAAAAACAATTTTTTAATTGTATTATATCTACTATGAACATTTCATTTGAAAAAAAAAAAAGATAGGATTAATAGACTATTTGTAGATTACTAAACTCACTGGAGATTAGTGTGAGAAAGATAAGAAAAGGGAATTCTCTGATTCTCTGGAAAATAAACTGAGCAGGAGGTATGAAAAAAAAAAAAAAAAAGAGGAAAGAAGAATAAGAAACAAAAAGCACAGAGAATACTGTTTTGAGGTTGGCAATCAATGAAGCATTGGAAATTTAAAAGACAATTTTTCATACAAGGTTTCAAAAGCTCTCTCCAATCCATATTCTGTAGGAAGATGTAATGGTCCTCCCGGATAGTTCTTTTTTGAATCTGATAGATAGGTTCAACAAAGGCAAGATATAAGCTTTATGTCTTGGCCTAGTAAAGGCTGCTTTTAAGAGCTTTTTTGCTGCTATGAGCTTTTCAGGCTGTTTGTGCAGGTTGTCTACTCTTGCCCTTTGTGAAGTGTTGAAAAGCACTTCTCTGTAACTTTGTCTAAATGAAACAAAACAGATTTATTTTTACTGGAATGTGTGGAATAGTTTTATTTTGTCTTAACAGCAATAATCACTTTCAAATGATTTTCTGCCCAGGATTCATTAACACTGCAAACGGGTTACAAAGATGTTTCAATACATGAAGGAATAAATAAATTACACAGAATATTAAAGTTGTTTATGCACATATTTTGTGCCCATTATTATACAGCGAACAGGGTTTAAACTAGGCAAACAGTATATCTGTGACACCATGCTAAAACAGACTTCTCAGAACTGCCAGGCTAGGCATGAAAGGTCATAGGGAAGCTTCAGAATGAAAGTGTAGAGAGGAAAATGGGAATTATAGTATGGGAAAATGGGAAAGAAAGCAAAATGAAAACTTGGACAGGTAAAAGAGGCATAAAAGAAGACAGAAAAATATTTGAAGAGTTTTGAAGCTGGTGAGATGACAGTGCAGTTCAAAATAAGAGTTTATGATAGGTACAGATGAAGTTTTAGGTTCTGGAAAGCCACAAAACTGAGATGCTGAAAAGAGAATCAGTTCTATCTAATGAATAAGGCAAACTGAGAAAATTGGTTTCTAATTTTGCCACCAGTAATATCTCTAGATGTTGCTACAGCATTTGTGTATATTTTATTGTGTTTAATATAAATTTTACTATATATTTTTATTTCATTTTATATTATTTGCTAAATATATTTGCTATTATATAATGACATAAAACTTATGTGAACATAAAAATGTTTTCCAAAATACAATTTCTAAACATTTATAAACAAGGTTTTTATAAAACAATTTTTCTAGCTCTTCATGTTTTCCTTGCCATTGTGTGAAATAAGAGACTGTTTAGAAAAATATTTTAATTTCAGTAGAAGTATTCCCAGAACTAACTTAGTAATTTCAAAATGAAAATACATTTCTTATTGAAAGTATGGAAAATGTATATCTTTTTTATTCCTTAATAATGTACAGGTGGTTTGTACTTGGAGGATATTCACCTGCTTGATACTTACTTTTTATCGAACAGTTGAGATTACAGTGTTGACTCACACTTAAAAACTTCTGTCAAAGACACATTAAGCAAAACAAAATTCCAAACAAATACTACTCAGGTAACTTTTCCATATAAACGAGATGCACTGTAGCAACAAAGAGGAAAGGAAGATATATGCTTTAATTTGAAGTTCTAAGTGCACATTTGTGAACAAAAAGACATTACATTTTTGCAAAACATCTATGCACTGTTGCAACTACATACAAGCTACAGCGAATATTTGTCTTCATGTGTAATACAAGTACTATTATAAAAAATAATAGCAGTATCTGTAACTGATTTTTGTAACAGACAATATGCAAAGTTATATTGCTACAGAGAGTTTACATTATTGTTGTTTTTTCTTCAATTACCGGAATAAGTTTTACTGATATGTAATATCTTTCTGTAGTAACTGAATCTATGATAGTAGTTTTGTACCAGTTAACTCTGTTTCGTAGAATGAACTAAATTGCTAATATGGTTGTCATTAATCTGAGTTCAACTCAAGGTAGTGATAACTGTAGTAAAATAATTTATTGTCTAATTAGAAGAATAGACAATTGTATGCACCTTTCCACTTTCCTTGCGTGCTTTGCATGAATACAGACTTCGCAAGCTGCAACATGAAGTAGAATCTGAATTAAAACCTTGATTTTTTTTTTTATGGCATTCATAAATACTGTTGACACTGGCAACAGAATTTGGCTAGGCTGTATTAACATTTCACCTCCATATAGCTTTAGTTTTTATAACAGTTTGAACTGTTCATTAGGCTTTCCATTTTGTCTGTATGGTTTTGGTGGGTTGAAGATTTTACTATATTTTTGCATAACTTTTATTACAGAGACATCTGGTGGTCTTTGAGTGTATTTACAAATTTTTTCTCATTTTGTCTGCCTTTACTTTGTAATTTATAATACATCACTCATGTATAGGCCCTGCCTTATTATGCTCCTGTGTTGTTTTAAAGTTACATTTAGAATATAAATATATGTATAAATATACTTCAGTATACAAATATCAGTATATTCCTGATATTTTTTTTCTCGTGGTTGATCATGGATATTTTTCATTTGTCTCCCTATCATCTGTATGTGGAGGAGATATCTGGGCATGTTGTATGATTAAATGA